GAGCCGCCGGTGCCGTCCGCACCTCAGCCCTCAGCTGTCTGCTGGCCCTGCTCCACGGAGGGGCAGTTACACCGGCGCTGGTGCGGTGCCACGAGGAGCGGCTCAGACCACATGTCCTGTCGGCACTGCAAGAACATTCTGACATGACCAGACTGTTGGCCTGTCGCTGTGTGTCCAACATACTGAGACTGGTGGGAAACGACCTCCGCACCGCCACCCTCAACAAGATCTACCCCGAGCTGTTGAAACGCCTGGACGACAGCAGCGATGAGGTGCGAGTCGTGGCTCTGCAAACTCTGGGACAGTGGCTGTCGAGTTTGAACACAGACTACGACGCGGAGCTCTTCTCTCCTCATCTGCGGCTCCTCTTCCAACAGCTCCTCCTTCACCTGGACGACACCAGTGCCTCGGTGCAGGGGCAGGTGTTCGAGATCCTGAGGAACGGCAGCTCAGTTCACCCCACGCTGCTGAAGAAGTCAGTGGAGGGAGTGAGAGAGAAGCTGAGGAGCCCACTTCACTGTGATCTGTTACTGCGACACATCGACTCACTCACCACTGAGTGAACGAACTAAAGAGAAGACATCAATAAAATCCTCCTTCAACAAAAGATTATATTTTCAACCAGGCATCAGTTAAAATAATTTTGTAGACTAAAGACAAAATTTAAGTTGCCTGTAATAGTAATGATGTGTATCAGAGAATACACTCAACATTGTTGTCTTATTAAAAAGAAAAACATTAAGAAAAGTCTTAAAAATATTTTTAAGTCAGAAACATTGAGACTGCGTTCAGAGACATTATTTTGACTTTAATCCCGTAATTCTATTTATAAAAAGCTAAAAATAAAATTATCGTTGATCCCGAGAATAAACTAAATTCGTTTCCAACTTTTAATGTTTTATTTTATAATACTTTTTTCCATATTTGTACTATTAATAAGCGAACTAAAGACCCGTTGACCATCCGTGCCGGTAGATGGCGGTCACACACCAAGACGCTATTTGCCAACCGCTTTTCAAAAATCAAAAAAATCATAAACGGAAGTTATATTAAAAGGGGGCGGGGCTACGTTCAGTTTTGGACAGCGGTTCTAGGAAGACAAGATGGCCTTGAGAGCTGCGCTCTTATCGGGCAAGCGTGGATTATCGGGTGAGTTCACGACAAAAGTTTGACTTTAGCGCACGGTGAACAGGAAGTGAGGTTGTGGACGAACGTTTGTCGGTGTCTCTGGCGCTTATAGTAACCGGTGTTTGTAGTGAAGCTAACGGTGTTAGCCTGTTGTGTTGTGTGCGCTGCAGAAACTGGAGCAAAGGTCGTGAACACTTCAGAGTTAATATTCCTGTCGGTGTCACCCTGGGACTGAAGATGGGTTGAAATGAGAAATACTTATTAATTAATAGTGTAGTTAATTTACCGTCTGTTTCTGTCCCGTATGAGTTCATCTAGTCGGCCTGCTCTTTGAACTACTTGGTAAATGTTTCTTCTTTAGTTAATTCGGGTTTTTGTGTTAAAATGCAGTTTGTTATTTTATCGACGTCGTTGCTAGAGCTGCTAATGAAGCTACACTTTACTGCTGTGATAATGTTTGTCATTTACATATTTGTGTACAATACAATTGCATAGAATATGAGAAATAGTTTATCATTAAAAAACTGTCATTGTGTAATAAAAACATCCATTCAGTCATTCAAATCATTCATCCATCCAGTCATTTCTACTGCATAAGTGAGGACGGGGTCAGGGCAGGGTCACACCCTGGACGTTCACCAGTCCAACACAGATCCACATCCACAGGCTGTTCACTGGTCATCCTACATCCTTCTGTGTGTGTGTGTGTGTGTGTGTGTGTGTGTGTGTCAACTACAGCTAACCGTGACGTCATCTCTGTTTACACAGGTCTGTTGTGTCAGCTGTCCTCCAGCAGCAGTCATGTCAGAGTGTGTGTGTCTCAGCAGAGGACCAATTCCACTGCACCTAAAATCAAAGTGGATTTTAACCAAACCACAGGTGAGGTTTATCACCTTGATGTCTGTTTTGGTCCGTCTACACACTCCTGTTCTTGTATCTGGTCAGTGACTGGTCGTCTGTGTTCCTGTATCTACAGGTGTGGCAGTGATGAACATGCAGAGTCCTCCTGTCAACAGCCTCAGTCTGGACTTCCTCACTGAGCTCTGCATTGCCGTGGAGAAGCTGGAGATGGACAAGAGCTGCCGAGGCCTCATCCTCACCTCGGTGCCGTTTTGTTCCCAACTGTTGCGGTCGGTTCTTGTCAGGAGGATCTTCATACTTAGGTTTGTGTTTCTTCTTCTCAGAGTCAGCCCAAGGTGTTCTCAGCCGGCCTGGACATCATGGAGATGTACGGCCAGAGTCCAGAGCGATGTGCAGAGTTCTGGAGAGCTGTTCAGGAGATGTGGCTGAAGCTCTACAGCTCCAACATGGCCGTCATCGCTGCCATCAACGTAATACAGTTTATTCATGTTATTCATTCAGTTGAAATACTAATTTTGTTTTTGGTTTGGTTTAAATAAATGTGAGTTAAAAATGGAAGCCAGTTTTGTGGCAGGTGTTAAGGACGTGACAGTGAGGCTGGAAACTGCTCCACGTGTTGGTGGACGGTGATGATGTCACAGACTGTCGTCCACAGGGTTCCAGTCCTGCAGGAGGCTGTCTGATGTCGTTGACATGTGACTACAGAATAATGGCCGACAATCCTCGCTACAGCATCGGCCTGAACGAGACCCAGCTGGGGATCGTGGCCCCGTTCTGGTGAGAAATGACGTGAAGTGGATCAGTGTGGTTGGTTTATGTGGTTCTGGAGAAACCCAGTCAGAGCTGCTGTCCTGCTGACCACAGGTTCAAGGACTCACTGGTCAACACTGTGGGTCATCGACACGCTGAGATGGGCCTGGAGCTGGGCCTGCTCTACAGTCCATCAGAGGCCCTGAGGATAGGGTTGGTGGACCAGCTGGTACCTGAAGACCAGGTCCTCTCCACGGCCACACAGACCATGACCAAGTGGTTGGCTATTCCAGGTACACAGATAATCCCACAGTGGTTCGTCTGAGGTCGGACCCTCTTAAATGTGTTGAAGAAGACTTTCCAAATATTAAACTTTGTTAGAAATAAAAAAAAAAGTCATGTGTTTCAAACTATGGTTCTCAGAACAGGTCCAGTACACTGACTTCAGGTCCGTGTTCTGGTGCCTTTCTCTGTAGTGATGGTTATAAGAAATTAGGGATGTCCAATAATATCAGCCTTTTTATTTCGCCAAAAGATGTGTGAAAAACAGCTGCATATGAAAGTGAAAGTCACTAGATGGCAGCATTGCAGATGCCTTTAATTAATCTGTTGTAATAACCAGGTGGTTGTGTGCAGTCATGCAGTGGTTTGTACAGATATCAAACATCCCTGTTAGAAACCACAGCTGGGCGGTGATTAAGGACCAACACCAAGGTCATGAGTCAACGTCTCGTCGTCTCTCTTTGCAGACCACGCCAGGCACCTGTCCAAGTCCATGATGAGGAAGCCCACCGTTGACAAGCTGCTGTCCAGCAGAGAGTCGGACATCCAGAACTTTGTCAGCTTCATCACCAAAGACTCCATCCAGAAGTCTCTGCGCGTGTACCTGGAGATGCTGAAGAAGAGAAAAGGCTGAAAGAGAGGGAGAGGACGAGAGAGTCTGAGACAGATGGAACACAAACTACTACACTAAAATATTTCCACCCTTGTTTCCAGCCTCATCATTTATATTCCAAGTTTCCTGATAATCCAGGTGAAGTTCTGACTTGTTTGGACGGTGAGTTCTGGTCTTTCTCAGAGGATCAAAGTAAACCTGGATCATCTGGTTCTAACAAACTTGAAGTGTAAACGATCTTCATTAGAACTACATGAACGCAGTAGAACTTAATGTACGTAATAAATGTCATTATTGACAGTTTGTTTTTGTTTGTTTGTTTGTAGGAGAAAAGTCGTAAAATGTTGAGTTTTTAAACCTCGGCCTCTGAAACTGCTGCAGGTTCTGGTCTGGATTCTTCAGAGAATTGAACTTTGACAGAAAAGAACATTTTTTATGCTTTTTTTTCTCCCTTCAAGTCAGTGAAGGGAGTCAAACTGTGTGGAGGTGTGGCCTCTGGTCACATGATCTCAGCCATTGGTCATTGGTCTTTTTTTTTTGTTTTCCAACCATATCCACAACGTGACATCATCTCAGTAACTTTAAAAAAAATTACTTTACAACGACAAAGTAAACGTAGCATCGTTTTTATTTATCTGTTGGACAGTTTGGATGAATGGGAGGTTTGTTGTAGCTGTGACTCTAGGCTGTGTCTCCTCAGCCAATCAGCTTCACCTCCACAGGAAAATGGTCGCTGACGGCCAAGGCCTGAGGAAGGAAGTGAAAACATCACTCAACTGTCAAATAAAAACATTAAAGTCATCTGGTTAAATTTAGAAATTAGAATTTGAAGACATCTAAATGAACAATCCATAAATGGGTGTCGGACAGATTTGTTTTTTTTTTTTACCAGACTGAGGCTCAGGTCCAGGTCGACCATGTAGTCATAAACCGCTGCGCTGTTGTTCACCACTGCCCTCATCAGGTCGTCAGTGACCACGATCCTGCAAATACACATCAGAGGACGATGACCAGGTGGAGGTCAGAGGTCAGCGGCTGTGTTCCAGTTCATTGGTGACTTCATGATTTGGTGAAAACGTCCATTAAGGTAAAGAAATATCTTTACACGACATTGTTTTCTCAAAATTCAATTTTCATCCCCTGGACGTTTTTAACATCAACATGGTGGACGTCATGATGTCACTGGGTTTGATGTACCAGGTGAAGTAATGTACCAGGTGACGTCGACACTGCAGTTCATCGGTGTGTTCTGTGTATTTCTGTGTAACTGTTCAGGGCGTAGATCACAACATCGTATCGTTGTCACTGTGTCGTGATAGCTATCGTGTCTCCAGGTTCGCGCCGGTACTCACCTGTCGTAGGCGCAGTGAGTGTGTGACACCGTGGTGTCGGCCTCGTTGTCGATCAGCCAGTGGAAGCTGTCGTCGGTGAAGAGACGGATCTTGTCCCAGTCTGAGCCTGAGACGTAGGAACAGTCGGTGTTGAAGTTGAAGCCCAGAAGAACGATGTCCTGCAGGGACAGAAACACAGATATGGAGATGGTTCCTCAGAGTCTGCCGTGGCGTCCACTTTTAGAGCGCGCTCACGTTGGTGTTCCAGCGGGAGCGGACGTCCTGCACCACGTCGTAGAGCGCGTCCGTTTCCTCCAGGGCGAAGTCTGGAGACGTGTGCTGAGGGATCAGGACAAAGTTCTCCACGGCTGCAAAAGAAGAAGCAGAGGAGTGGAGCGGCTTTACTGGGGCGGGGGGGGGGGGGCCGGGCCCCCCCGCCCCCCCGCTGTACCTGAGTGGTTGGAAGAGAACATGACCACGAACGGCTCCCGGATGAAGGTGTCCGTCCCACAGGCCTCACTGCCGTCGTCGTACTGGTAACTCTGAGCCACAGACACCGTGTCCTCTCTGGGAGAACAGGAAAAAAACCCACTGTCCTCAGACCATGTACGTAGCGTACCACCAGTGGTGCACGAACCTTATGGTGGATTCTCAACATGATGTGAATTTTAAGGGTCATCTGGTGACATCTCCTGGTCAGTTGGTGTTTGAACCTTTTTTAATTAAATATTTTTGTATTCACCTGTAGAGGAACAGATATCTCTCCTTGTAGGAGCTGCGACCCAGAGGTTCACTCACGATGTGGTTGTACCTGAACTGAGGAGACCCTCTGACCAAACACACACACACACACAGATAAAAACGCTGGATCAAACAAGAAATTCTTACAAATGTTTTTTTGTTTTTTTCTACTCTGTGTGTGTGTGTTAGGGGTAGGTGGGGGGGGGTGGTTCTGACTTGTTGACTCGCTCCATGAGCTTCTTGGTTGCAGACAGGTCACTGTCTCTGACCTCCTGGATCAGGATGATGTCATAGCGGTGGACAATCTGAAGAAGAAGAGATTCAGTTTAATTTATTCAATAATGACTCGTTAATCAACTGGAGACTTAATTAAATCTCATACAGTTTTTATGATGAATTAGTGTCAGATTAAACAGCAGTCTTTGTCTTCAGCAGGTCAAAGGTCAGACCCCCACCTGACTGATGAGGGTCATGATGGTGCTGTTGGAGGATTTCTTGTCTCCGTACGACTTGATGTTGAAGGCCCCCAGCAGCAGAGGTGTGGACAGACGCAGCAGGGTCAGTAACAGACCCAGAGTAAACAACTGACGCATCCTGAGTCACAGACAACAACAACAACAGAACAGGTCTTCACTGGGAATAAAATACAATTTATTAATGTTTGTTTTATATCAGTCAAGTTTATCAGAAAACAATCAGAGGTGAAATTATTAAGAGATAAATACACCCAGGCTGAAGAGCCGTATGTGGGCCGCGAGCCACATGTTGTCCACCCCAGGTGTACACAGTCATAGCAGAACTTTTTCTGAATTTAATCTTAATCCAAGTCTTACTCTAAAGTTTTAATCTCGTCTTTTGAACAGAGTCTGACCCAGACGTGCGGATCACGTTGAGAGCGCGCGTTTGAACGCACGAACCTCCGACTGTGGGAGTGGGCGACGGACGCAGCACCTGTGCACCTGGACGTGTGACAATGTTTGTTTTCTTCCCCGTCCGTCCGTCCCTCAGCCTGGGCTTCCACAGATGTTGTTCTGCCAGAGTCTGGAGTTGAACTCACAACCTTCTGGTTGCATTTTCAACTCTACTTCACAGAGCAGAGGATGATCCGGTTTAGAAATATTCCTCTATGAATCCTGGAGGGAAAATCCCTGGGACTTTGCCTTGCCTTGCTCAACGGCCTTGGGGATTTTAACCGATAGTATTTCATTCAAAGCTCGTTCTTATTTTAGGATGAGAAAAAAAAATACCGTGAGCATGATATGTTGGATAAAAAAAACAAAAACATTTTTTCTCTACTTCTGATGGATAAAAGGAGATTAGATTAGATAATCTGTTTAGATTTAAATTTATAAACTGCTGAGGACATTGACTAAATTGTAGACTTCACACACACACACACACACACACACACACCCCCTAACCTGTCCTTGTTGTTGCGGCAGCAGCCAGACGTGGTCTAATGTTTAACTTCTTTTCTCCAAGGACTTTTCCGTCTGTTCAACACCTGACAGGAGGAATTCACCGCTGAGACACTCGGTACCAGAATAAGTCTGACTGACATCAAGAAACTCCGGTTTCGCCTGTTTCCTAATGTGTAGGTTGAACTCACTTTTCAACACATCTCACAGAAAATAAAAAATAAATGAACAACTCACTTTTCAACACATCTCACAGAAAAAAAAAATTAAAAAATGACCAAGAGTCAGAAACTAGACGGACCGTCAGGTATCAAAGGTACCCGTGTACGTGACTGAAGTATTGGATGAAGTTTTAGTTAAACTTCACATCAACAGCTGTTGGTCAGTTTAAGGCTCACAGACAAATAACTGCCCCCACCCCCTCCAACACCTACCACCTCACCTACCTCCACCAAGAATGTTTACAGACACTGGTCACTTTAACATTTCTTTTGCACAAACCTCCACCAAGAATGTTTACAGACACTTTAAAATTTCTTTTGCACAGATGTTACAACGTTACAATAAAGACTATTCTAATTATGACGTTAATATTTTTTCAGATTTCACCCTGACTGCGTTGACGGTACATACACGTCACATGTTCACAGATACAATACCGGATGCAGTACCAGATGCAGTACCAGATGCAGTACCTGCTCCTGTGGCTGTAATGGACCTGGGCAGCACGGCGGTCAGTGGAGTACACAGGTTTAGTGGTTCAAATCCCCGGTGGCTTCAGAACTGTTTGTGAGCAGAGCGTCTGAAAGCATCCTGAAGGTTTTTATTTACCTGTCACTTCATGTGACGGGGGAGGAGTGAAGGGGGGAGGTGTTATAGGGGATGTAGGTGGTTTGTTAGGTGAAGGAATTAAACCAGGATGTGAACCAGCAACCATCTTGTTCTGCTGTTTTTATGAGGAATTTGTTTCAACAATGAGCTACAAGTTCTTAAAGGAAATTTATTTTAATGAAGTTTAAATCCAAAATATGTGTTTTTTTTTAAGTATGTCCTACAATATGTAGTCTAATCTGAATTAACACTAATCTGATGGGATTTAATCCAAAGAAATGAAAAAAACTGATCTGATAAATATTTAATTTTAAATCTAATCTAATCTGAGCAGGTTGTGTTTCATTCTTTCATTCTGCTCTGTATTGTCAAAACTGTCAGTTAAAAAATAGATTTGATTTCAAGTGTTTTTATAAAACTAGATTCAATCATTTAAAAAAAATAAAAACAGTTAAATATATAGATAAATATTCATGAATTAAAATGTCACTCTGTCATTAACTGTGCAGTAACACATATAACCTGTGGTGGTGACAGAGAGCACGTCTCCTCGACATAGTTCTGGTCATAATAAGAACTAATAATGATGACAGTAATGTTGTTCCTGTTTCAAACCCGACAGGAGTGATTGACAGGTGGTGCCACGAACACATGACGTCACAGGAGATAAAGTTGAGTTCTGGTCACGTCTTTACTCACATTTACTGGAACTACTTTATTGATTCTGGACATTATTTTAATATCTTTACATTCAGCGTCCTGTTTAACAGATAAATAATCAGCTCCAAAATAAAAGCCATAACATAATGATTACTGTAGCTTTGTTTAAAAGACTAATGTTTACAGTAGAGCGCCCTCTACTGGTATTACAGTATTTTTACTGGTATTTTTTTCATTGGTCTTATCTAGTAATGACTAATTTTTGGTGTGGTTTTATTTGAAACTATTAATAATTAATCCTAAAGTCAAGTTTAAGGTTATTTTTGTCTGAAACCAGTGTCCAGAGACTGTTATCTTGTAAAGAGTGGAAACATGATGGCTAGGTTCCATTTAGCTTGTGACCAGTGACAATTAAGCACTGGTGCAGAAATTAACTGTTTGTTGAGTATTTTCTCTGTACAGGTAGAACTGGTCTTCCTGGTTTCAGTCCACCGCCACGTCTGTGTCCAAAGAATGGAATTGAATTGTGAAGTTCCAAGGCATTTGAATTGTGTCATCAAAGTATGACAGGCACATCCTCTGACAACTGGAATTTCATTGGTGAGAAGTGACAAGTACACAAAGTTGGTTAAAGAAGAGAGTTCTACACAGAATATATGATGTACCTTATACTGTGTAAATGAGATAATTATATATAAAAAGACTGAATGATTATGAGAATTATGAAGAGGAGAACAGTTCACTCATTCAATCAGTAACTAAAGCAGTAACTAAGTAACTGGACTCAAGACTGTGATAAGGTCTGAAGGATTTGTTAATTCTCAAGGGTAAGACACAGCTACTGTATTCTACAGTTATACTTTGAATAATGTTATTTAGATTAAAATATATAACTACGTAAAACTGTCAGCTGTTAATAATAACTCAAGTTTGTTTATATGTTCATTATTCATCTTGGGTTAATCATTTTTTAATTCCAAAAGTGAGGTTGCAAATAAAGTGTTCATATACACCTCCAGCCACTAGGTGGTGACAAAGCTCTCGTGCTCTGGATATTTCACAAACTACCTGCCCGTGGAAGAAGCAGTTCCGTGACGCAGTGCTTGGCAGCGGCCACAAACAGGAAGAAAACATCCAGCTGTTTCTGAAAGCGCAGGAATTCCCCGACATCCTGGCGGTGAGAGGGTGATGAAACGGCGTGACTAAGCCTGTGTGTTATCACCATGCTGCAGCCGGAGGAGTGACTTCAGCCGCTGACGAGCCGGGACCGAGCATCTACCCCACTTTCCTACGGTCCGGCTGTTGAAACAAGGTGCGTTAGCTTAGCCACGTAGCCGTTAGCTGCCGTTAGCAAATGTTAGCTGGCAGCATAAAGTCGGAAGTTTTACAGACTGGAGACCACCGTTCACCGTCTTTTGTGCGTGATTTTTACCTACTCAGGTTGTTTCTTGTAAATTTAAATTTGTTTGATTCTGAAACATGTTTAAACGTGCTGGAAGTAAAGAATTGTAGGTCAAACAGCAGCAGATGCTGGACGAAAGCACAGACGTCCATCACGCTGTGTATTGTATTTGTATATTTTTAATAATGTTGTCAACGATAATGGCTTTATGTGTCTCGTATGAAAATTTTCAATAATGAGCAAATAAGTTTGACATATACTTTGTTGTTTTGGTTAGCCAGTTAGCTTTGGCTAGCATGTATTTTCTCACCTTTAAACGTACGTTTTCTGTCACAGTAAATAATAATGTATTGGCAGTTGCCGCAAAACTGTTGTAAGGATTTGTAGTCATTATTGTGATAAATGAAAGTTTGTTACTTCCACGCTGGTATTTATAAAAAACCTGATTGGCAACTTTATATAAGAAAGTTCTCAGTTTACTTGTCAGTGAACTCACAAGTCAGGTCGGACAGCAAAGGTGTGTATTCGCCTGGAGTTAAGTGTATCGTTACATCCCTGCCTAAGAACTAGTATAACTATTGTAATGTAATGTAATGTAACTATACATTAGATGTAATGTAAACAATGTGTATACAATAGATGTAATGTGTCGGTGTAGGTTCTCCCTTTGAATAGGGTGGGTTTCACCACACCTCCATCGACCCTGGTTACAGGTACGTGGACCCCTGAACTCACCAGGTCTCTTGTTTGTCGCGCAGGTGTGAATGAGTGACGTGGTGCCACCCACAGCCCTCAGTGAAGTCCAGCTCCGCTTCCTCTGCCATGATGACATAGAGAATGTCAAGCTGCTCTGTGGCGATTGGTTTCCAATCGAGTAAGAACCAACACACACGTGGTCAACATCTCATCTGAACTCTGTGTGAACTAGTTCACATGCTCATGTAAAATTTGTATCATTAACTGCTTGACCTTTGACCTTAGGTACCCAGACTCATGGTATCAGGACATCACCTCCAACAAAAAATTCTTCTCCCTCGCCGCCACCTTCAGAGGAGGCATCGTGGGGATGATTGTGGCTGAGATCAAAAGTCGGACCAAAGTGCACAAAGAGGTGTGAACTGATCTGCTCTGTCACACATTTACTCACACGTGTTAATAAGCGAGTCCTGCAGTCGGTGTGGTGTCGGCCCAGTTTACACTCTGCCCGGCAGCTGCCACTTGGAAATGTCTGAACTAGCACACTGACATCACAGGGTCTTTTTTTAGCCTGCTAATTAGATGAACATAATGTTTCAAACTGATACCAAAAACATTTTTTTATGCTGATAATTCCACTTCTTTCACTTTTGGCTTTAGGCTTTAGTAATCATCAGTGGAACGGCTGGTGTCAGAACTTAATTTCCCTAGAGAACATTTTTTGCATTTAACAATTTGCCTCCCCTGTGGTTAATTTGACTGTAGAAGCTGCAGGACAGAGTGAGGGAGCAGCTCCTCTGGGTTTATGTCAAGCATGATCACAACATGTGTAGATTAACGTTTATATTTGTCGTGCAAATATTTGTGTCAAACTTTAACCATGTTGTTGTGATTCAGTGATTTACCCGTGTGTCTGTTGTGTGTCTGTGGTGTGTCTCAGGATGGGGACATCCTGGCCTCCAGTTTCCCTGTGGACACACAGGTAGCCTACATCCTCAGCCTGGGAGTGGTGAAGGAGTTCAGGAAACATGGCATAGGTACAGCTGAAAACCTCACTCTTTATTCCACTGAGGTGCTCCTGTGAAACCAAGACCCTTTTCCACAGTGTGTATAAATAACAGCATGTGACTGTGACTGTGTCTTGGAGCACAGATGAGTGGATGCTAACTGAAATGTCCAACGACATGTTTGAGAACAATCCAGAATAACTGGAAGTGTTGAGGAGGAGCCTGGAGGTGCAGGGTAAAAACAACCTCTGTGGTCTTTGTAGTCGGGCTTTAGAACAGTTTAATCACTGAAGTAGTGAAGGCAGAAAAAGAACCAACACCAGGAATATTGGACTGGGAATTGGTGATAAAAAATCAATAACTAATGGAGGAGGAGATTGATACGAGATCAGGAGAGGACAGATCAGGAGAGGACAGATCAGGAGATACTACAGAGTTTTCCTACAGCCCTGATGTCATGTGTAGAGTTTAACAGAAACATTTGTGTCTGTGCTTCATATTTTTATATTAATGTCATTGTTCTTATGGGAACAAATGAGTTTGTAACAGTAAATTAAACTCTGATATATATTTGATAACAGAAGGTCAGTGACCCCCCGCACCCCCCCAGCTTTCTTCCAACTCTAATCTGAATGGATGAAGAAACCCTTACCCCAGGACCCCCCCCCCCCTCACCATTTTTCTTTTCGTTCCACTCAGGCTCCCTGCTGCTGGACAGTTTGAAGGAGCACATCTCCACAGTGGCCCAGGACCACTGTAAGGCCATCTACCTGCACGTCCTCACCACCAACAACACTGCCATCAGCTTCTACGAGAACAGGGACTTCAGGCAGCACCACTACTTACCCTACTACTACTCCATACGAGGGGTCCTCAAAGATGGCTTCACATACGTGCTCTACATCAACGGGGGTCACCCACCCTGGACAATATTATATCCTTTTACTGCTGATGTCGTCGTTCTGTCACTATTAGAATGAACACTCAGGTAGATGTTCACGGGTAAGTGAAGTTGTTGGACCTCTCTGTCCACACCCATCAGTCAGTTTGACTGCACTCTAAGGTGTCTTTCTTAACTCTTCATCCATCACTGACTACATCCAGCACATTGGCTCCACCCTGGCCAGCCTGAGCCCCTGCTCCATCCCACAGAGATTGTACCGACAGGCCCAGTCGCTGCTCCGCGCTCTGTTACCGTGGTCCAACATCGCTTCCAAGACTGGCATACAGTACAGCAGAACAATGTGACGCCGCAGTACGGTGGGTGGAAGAGCAGCACCAAAATATCAACACACTGAAGTATCTCCTGATCCCGTATCAATCTCCTCAGTCATTGATCAGTTATTGATCTTTTCTCCCCAATTCCCAGTCCAATATTCCTGGTGTTGGTTCATGTTCTTTTCTTTCTTCTCTAGTGATTCCAATGTATCACAATATATTGTAATGTTGCCCCTGTATTGATACGTTTTCTATCACAGATCAGATTCTTGCTGATACACAGCCCTAGTGGTTGGCAGGACTAATGGTTTTTTATTGTCATTATTTTTGAACATTTTGTTCCTCAAGCGTTGAATAATAATTCTCTTTTACCTTCCCTGCCCCCCCCCCCCTCTCTTCCAGGAGTCTTCGTTCCGTTCTGCATCAGTCTTCCCTCGTGCAGACCAGAATCACGCACACACTCGCTCACATTCTCAGTCACCTCTGGGTTTCCCACAGACACCGCAGGACTATGGCTCCACGCTGGGCTCAGACCTTCTGACACTAGAACCACCACCACTGCAGAGGAGACACCTTCAGTCCAGGTCCAAGTCCAGGTCCAGGTCCAGGTCCAGGTCCAGGTCCAGGTCTGCAGCAGCTGCTGCGTCCTCTCCAGTAAACAACAGGGTTTTATGACATTTTCCTCACAGAGCAGTGATGTGTTCTCACACTGATAAAACCACAGGGTTTCACTCACTCAGTTACTGTATTACTTTCCCAGTACTGTGTAGTACTGTGTAGTACAGCTGACCCAGATGTGTGGTGTTTTTTTTTTTTTTTAGCAGTGATTGGGAATCAATCAATAAGTAGAAATATTGATATAAACGTCCCGACAGTTTCAATGTTTTCATTTGTTCAATTTAATTTTAAAGTTGAATCCAAAAGTTAAATATTTGGAAAAAAGTAATGGCATAAAATATAAAAGAATGTAATGAAGCTTCTCTGTCCGTACATTAAGAGATCAGCTCTGATTTTAAAGACCAGTTCTTCAGCTCCTCAGTGTAAATAACTTTTAACTATTATTATTATTATTATTAATTTCCATATTGAAGGAGACAGAAAAAAAATCAGTCACAAAAACTCTACTGTATAAACAAAACATTTTTGTAGATGCATGAAGTCTTAAAAAATAAATTCTGTGACTAATCCAAGTGGTTCCCACCCCTAATATTTACCCCTGTCGTTATAACAGTGACCTGTGGTGGCACTAAAACACCAAATCTACACACACATACACAGACACAGACAGAACGTGGACACACGTGCACGTCGTGAAAACCCTGCAGAGACTTAAGGATCAAACCGCCCTCGTCCCCCCGTCCATCTGCCCCCACCCCCTTCATTACTGCCCCAGAGACTGTGTACACTGTTTGTATATTATATATACTGAGCTAATATATGAATTCCTCTCCATATGTCTGTATGTCTGTGTTCTATCCTGTCAGTAGGTTTTCCTTAGTGTACGTGTGTGTGTGTGTGTGTGGAGACTGAGTTTTTTTTTTTGTTCATGTGAAGTCATGAACTTTGGGTTTGTGTTAGCGTTGGTGCTGTTCTGAGTCACATGACTTCAGCATCTGTTCTCTCTCAGACGGTGAACTGAGGTTTTTTTTCTTTTTTTTTCCACCTTTAGAGATGTTCTGTGGATCATGTGAAGTTCATGCTGATTTTAACGTAGAAGGGACATAAGTCTTGTTTTACTTGTTTTTACCAAAGGTATGGCTAGATGAAAGTGTCAACGCTGCGCCCTCTACCTGCAAACCTGATAATTAAATGTTCATAAATGGCTTAGGTTGAAGAAGACAATGACATTATGTTGTTTTGTTGTGTACTTGATCAAAGTTTTTTTTATTTTTATAAACACACTAGTTGTCAGTGACTGTGGATGGTGCAGGTGGCGCTATTGTCATGCGTTGGAGTGATGGATCATCACGGAGTAAAATTTGTTCTAATTATTAACGTATTTTAAAACATCAGGCGTATCAAGGCCGATGTACCACAAGAGTCTCTGGAGCCACAGGTTGCAAACCTGAGGCGGAAAAAAGAATTTAGAGAAATACTGAGAATCAACTCGTCTGAAAAAACACTAAAAGATCGGAGTTTTAAAATGATAAATACAATTGTTTTAAGTTATTTTATTCTTTGTCAAAAAAACAAAAATTCAAACCTCCGTCCTGTTCACCTGACACCGAGTCACATCAAAGAGAGTTCTGAAGAGGGACGGAGAACCTTGTACTGACCCGGCCGTCGTTGTTCTGTTCATTTTACAGTGAATGTTTGAATCTGTGTTGGAAAATCTGGTGCAGATCAGAATAATGAAGTGGGCCAGCAGAGGGCGTACAACTGCAGTGGAGGTCGTTCAATGCGATGACATGTTCAACACCTGGCTGAACAACAGGTCAACAATAACCAGGACTAACCAGGACTAACCAGCCCTACGTCACGACAGGTTAGTGAGGCACTAGTTTGATCTATGGTGTCATTATTTCAGGAAAATTGTGAACTCAAATCCAGTTCTGGTACTGAGTTTTTTTTTGTTTTTGTTTTTAGTTTTTGTTTTAAGTTTTCTTTTTACTTTGACTCACAAACCAGATTCCAAACTTGAGCCTTTTTTTCTTTTGTTTTTTATTGTTGTTGTCAACTGTCTCAATACTGTGAAATATTTGATGGCTGAAACAGACGGTGATTGGGTCACCCTTCAACAACCACTGACCCTCTCTGTCCAATAAACTCCACTGTCTTTCACACTTACTGGGCTTATTTTTATAAAACATAATAAAAGTTTTTATTGTCATATTGTTGTTTTTTAAACTTTAACAAAGTTCTGAACAGAGGGCTGCAACACGGGCCAGCTCTTTATTTTAGAGGGCTGCAACACGGGCCAGCTCTTTTTTTTTTATTTTTTACATGTTTTAGTGCGACACTGTCAAACTCATTTTCATCTGGGGGCCAAATCACTGCTACAGAAGATCCATGATGTGTTTATAAATGTTTCTGTGATTGATTATTATTTGTTCAAGCTAAAAAATATTGTCCATTGCTGTGTTATAAGAAAAAAACAAATTAAACTGCTGCAAGAACTGGGCCGTACAAAATGACCTGAGGAGGTGCGCATTTGGCCCCCGGGCCTTGAGTTTGACACGTGTTTCAGTGAAAGGCGTCCTCACATCGTAATGTGAAGCCGCTTCTGATTCACAAGGAAAATGTTGATAAAATAATTATTCAACGTTTTTGGCACGCGCCAGTTTTTTTTTTATGTCGCAGTCTTTACACTTGTTACGGTAAATCGCTCAGCGTGACGTCAGCGGCCACGCCCATTTATAAAAACGTCTCGGCTGCACTCAGTGTTTACGCTGACTGACTCTGTTATCTCCACAGACTCGTCCAGAAAACACGGCTTCAGCTTCAAACTCCGCTCAAAGTTGACTTTCACTTCCTCTCGGTTCCTCCGCGGGTCTAGAACATTCTTCAGCAGCGGTGAAGCAAAAGGTAAGTGATGCGCTCCGTGTGTCAACACCTAGAGACGGCGTTTAGCTACGTGAACGCAGCACGGAGGATTTTCCCTCCAATTTAAGTTTAACTCTTTAAAAAAAGACATGTTTGAGTTTACAGAACACAAACAAAGTTCGAAACTCAATTCGTGTCACTTCACGTGATATTGTTCGGTCGTGAAAGTGTAGGTTGGTGTCAATATTGTCAGTCAAAGTTTCTGTTCGAACCCGAGGCGTTCACGTCCTCACGTCTGTACTTTTTATCTTTTCTGTACAGACTGGTTGGTTACAGACAAACAGAAGTAAAGAGGTGAATTATCAACTACGTTAAAGTCAAACGGAATAAAACGAGGTTTTCAGAGAGCAGCTCCGTCGTGGACGTGTTGTGACCTGTTTTACTGACCGAGGCTTCGGTTTAAATCTCGGAAAACAGACGTGATGGTTTTTTTTTTCTTCCTTACATTCTTTTCCCACCCAACGATTAGTCGAGTAATTGTGAAAAACCGTGATTAAAAATAGTTATTAATTGCAACCCAGGTTTGTGTTCGGGCTTAAAAACATAAATCGTTGTAATTATTGGTTGTTATTTATAATTATATCTGTTTGTCTTTGTGTTGACTCGTGTGTCAACATTTCTTTAAGGAAAGAAGATCACGGAATAAATGAGTGACATATCTGTGTGTGTGTGAGAGAGTGAGAGAGAACAGAAGGTTTTTTATTCATGGAGGTGAAAAGCTCTCCTCTCGACACAAACCCTCCATTCGTGGTTAATGAAGTGCAGGGAGATGAAGAGCTGTGGGAGATGCAGAGCTGTGGGTTGGTGCCACTTTCCATCAGCGGCTCGTTATAGCGTGACTTCTGTGTGTGTGCGTGCCAGAAAGCAGTGAAGCAGAGGTGGAGGTAAACCACTGGTCTGAGGACCTGGTTGAAGCCTGTTATTGGATGAAACAACAACAACATCATGGTCTGATGTGGAGTGGCCTGTTCCAGGTCCTCTTTGTTCTGACAGACGTGTCTAATGACAGGTTAGGATGAGGTGGTGAGTCGGCGTGTGGCCGTCACTGCAGGTTAGACCTACCAGGACTAACAGACCTACCAGAGTCGGAGCAGCTGCACCAAACCATGGGCTCTTTGGTCATCCATTATAGTAGTGATTCAGTAACACCAGTAAACAGGACTAAATATGGTTTATATCACGTTAGAACACAAAGTTAAATCGAAAGCCAAAGACTTTCAAAATGGCCTCTACCATCAGCATATATTTGTATATATGTATATATTTTCTTAGTGCTATTTATGGACCTGTCAGAGTGTGATCCTAGTCTCAGACTCTGTTCCATCTGAACATCAGTTACTGGAACAGAGGGATCAACATTTGGAATCACTAGAGAAGAAAGAAAAGAACAAGAAAAAGAACCAACATCAAGAATATTGGACTGGGAATTGGTGAGAAAGAAATCAATAACTGATGAATGACTGTGGAGATTGATACGGGATCAGGAGATACTTCAGTGTAGTTGATGTTTTCTGACTCCTCTGTTTCATCTCGTTGTTTCTCTGTTGGTTTTTATGACCAGACCTTTTGCAGCTTCGTGGCTCTGAGATAAAGATTGCTGGTGAAGGCCTGACGTGTTTGTGCAATACGATCTGTTGTAATAGTCCCCTGTGAACCCTGGCTGTAGGCAATAAAGCGATCAATGGGGGTGAGAGAGAGAGAGAGAGAGAGATACACATATTTACCCACCCACTCCAAGTTCCCTTCACTGGAAAGCAGTTTTCAGGGCAGGACTGTCAGGGAGGAAGTCTGTACCTAGGAAACAGGACACTGTTATTTTGTTTCGCAAAGATTTCTGGGAATTCTCTTTCACCACTCTGGGTGTTTTTCTTTTTTTATTGGACTTCATCAGAAATGGAATCTGTTAAAAATTGTCATCAATAATAATGTTAAATAAAAGGGGCGTGGTCATCAGTCTAATGAGTGGGTGATGTCAAACAACTCCTGTAGAACAGCGTCTGGTCAGAGGGGTGGAGGAGGACCAGGACCAGGACCAGGACCAGGACCAGGACCAGATACCTGTGTTTTTTGATACTGTATTGTTGCTTGTATATAAACTGCTGTTGGTTGATGGTTGTTGTTATAGAGAAATCTTCCTCTTCTGTTGGATTAGAGACGGCTCGAGCGCCTGATTGGTTGATTGGTTTTGAGGAAAAAAAGTGTGTCATTAGTTTAGCTCCAGACTGTGGAGACATTTCAAGTCAGTGACACTTTGACAGAAACAAGTGGACGAAGATGAGGAAGATGATGTCAGAATGACAAGGTCCTGTGGCAGCAGCCGGTCGGAGGCTAACTGTCTGAGTTAGCATTTGAGTGGAGGAGAAAATGAATGTGATTGGATGATGGATCTTGATGCCTGAAGTATGTCAAAATCTTCAGCTTTACCTCCTGTCAAACTGGATGGTTTCGTACCAGTTTCAGCTGCAGAAACCAGTTAAACCTGTTCACTCAGGTCCGTGCATGGAGACACGCACCACAGGTTTGATAACAGCGCGGGTAGAACGTCGAGTATCAAACTCTTCCAACACTTTTTTTTTTTTTACTCCAGTGATGATGTAACGTTCTCTGCGATACATAGAAACACGACCATTGAACGACGTTGAAGGACGTGCACGTCTGAACTGGAGGGGGGTCATGGAGCACACACTCATACACACACTCATACACACACACTCCCTCATCATTACCTGTGTGATTGGACAGGAAGAGACCTGGCTACTTCCTGTTTCCTGATGTTCAGGAGCGGTGATCAGCTGTGGGTTTTACACTGTGGATAAAAATAGAGATAGGAATGTATGAAGGACCCGCCCCCCCCACCGACTGTACAGCAATGAGTCACGTAGGCCACGGCTTTTGCACCCGTGGCCTATGTGTGTGTAGATCACTCCAGGTGAACCACCCGTCGTTCATAAATATAAATATAAATATAATTTTATCAGTGAAACCTCGGTGTCTCTGTCTCTTCTCCACCTGTGTCTTTGACTTCATCAGCTCAACTCTTCTCCCTCTTTCTTCTTGCCCCGCCCACATTCCTCGCTCTCGGAGCAACAGCGCGGTGAACTCTGGGCGCGGTGGAATCTTTGGTCTTCAAAGGTTCAGGTTCACGGGACGTGTTGTTGTCGGGATGATGGAAAATCATTTGACCCTCCACAAGTCTCCTCACACCAGGGGCATTAAGGAGGGGTGGGGTCCGATAAACAGAGGACGGAGCCTCAGTGTGGAATTAACATGTGGATGAAGATGATGAAGGTGTGAATCTGTGTAACCTGCATCAACTTCTCCATGGCTGAAGTGAAAAGATCGGCTGACGCACATCAAAGGCTGAGTCACCACTGTGCACTGTCACCAGTATACACACACACACACACACACACACATATACCCAGCTCAGTATAATAGGCTGCCATCACTGGATAATGAATCTGGATCAGCCTCTCTCTCTCTCTCTCTCTCTCTCTGTCTCTCTGTTTCTCTCTCTCTCTCTCGGCCTTTGTGTCGGTGCATGCGGGTTCTCAATAACTGGCCCGCAGCTGTGAACGGCCCCCACCCACTCCATCCTTTTCAGGCAGCAGTGGTGACTAAGGGACCGTCGGTTCCACAGGACGAGTGTCCTCGTCACTGCAGCAGGACGATGGACGGCGGTGTGACTGTGAACGCAGCGCGGTGACGTCACGATGACTCGAAGTGGAGAATAGTTTCAGAATGTTGTAGAATATCGATGTGGAATCCTGAAAAGAAACACTGAAACCCCAGTTCACTTTCAGTCTTGAGAGCGCCATCTAGCAGTGGTTCCCTGGTCCAATCAGCGGCTCATCTCATTATTACTGCATTCACTCTGTTGTTGTTGTTGTTGTTGTTGTTTGGGTCGAAGGATGAAGTGAAACCAGAACCAGAGTCGATCAATTGAACCACTGAGATTAGAGATGAACCATAACTGTCCTCCTCACCTTCAGAAGTCGTCGCCCCCACACTGTTACCCCCCACACTGTTACCCCCCACACTGTTACCCCCCCACTGTACAGCAGGATGACTCCACGCTGTAATTAAAGCAGACATTAACTCCCCCCCCCTCTTTCTCCCCCCCCTCTTCCTCCCTCTTCCTCCTCCGGCCTTTTCTCTGTTGTCTGAACGTCAACGCCTCCAGAACTTCTCAGTAGGAGAAGAGTTCTGAATCAGGTGCTCAAATATTGGTACCATGGGTAGTACTGCAGTACCTGCAGCGGTGGTCATAGTTTCTGTGGATTCTATTAAAATACTAGGTTTTATTTTCAGGTTCTGGCCCAGAGCCAGACTTCACAGCACCTCAGACTGCAGCCTGAAACCTGAGTACTCCTAGAGTACTCCAGGAGTACTCTGAAGAGTCTCACCCTGTTTTCCCAGCATCCTCTCCTTATCTCACACTGTTCCATGACCCCCCCCCCCTCACCTCTCCCCCCATGCTGCCTTCAAGAACCTCTGTTTTTCCTGTTGCTGGGCCACGACTTCTCTGCCTCTTAGAAGTACTTCAAGTACTTCATGTACTTCATGTTCAGCCTGACACCATTTGTCATCGCGGTTGTTTTTGACCTTTTGGAACCGAACGCTGGTTCTTCTGATTGTTCTGTGGTGTGGTCGATGCCCAGTGTGGGTGTGGGCTGCTGGGCTGCGACCCAGATTTCCTCCTGCAGGAAGTCTATTGTTTACAAGGGCTGTGATGATGTCAGCATCAGTCCGCTGCCCCCTGCTGGTCTACAAACACGTCTGACCTCCACTCACCTGAGTGGAGGCTCCCTGTAGTTTGAGTTTCTGTCCAAACGTTCTCGTTGTGTAATTAAGCAAAAAACGTCTTTAAAGATTTATAAGATTGAACCATTGTTTTTTCTGTGGTTTTTTTTTCTGATTCCATCAACATGACAGGAGTCTGTGGTTTTCAGACACAACTTTTCGATGTAGCTAATTTCCTACGAAACAAAATGACGTAAACATTAGGTACAGATTTCTTAAGAAAACCTCGACGGCTTCACAAACGAGTCGGTCTGTCTTTGAAGTGGCCTGAGCAGGAAGTAGAGGGTGTGGGGGGGGAGGGGGGAGGAAGGTGAGAGCTGGGGTGGTGAAGGATATCAGACCTGTGGGAGCACAACACCACAGACAGGGGGCGCTGTCTGAGGGGCTCACTCTCCAGCGCACACAAGTCTGTTCGTCTTCCTTTTCTTCCAGTACTTTCCTCTCTCCCTCCCCCTCTCTCCCCCCTCTCTCCCCTCCCCCCTTTCTCTAATGGAACAGATTTGTCAGAGTTTTTTCGTCTCGTCTCTAATTGCTCGCCGCTGTGATGACTAATGAGTGATGATGTAACTCCTGTGAATGAAGGGACCGTTTCTGTCCTCTCTCTGAAGTCTCAGTGTTTTCTTTTTTTTTTGGCATGTCCCCAAACTGTGGTTGCCACGGTAACGTGCCGTGTTCTGTGAATGCAGGGTCACTGATCCACTCGTCCTTTGTTTCGTCCGGAGTTGAACTTTGTCTGGACTGAAACGTCAGGCTTCATCTGCTGACCTTTGACCTCTCCTTCTCCTCAGGTCTGTAGGAACCTCAGCCCAGTGACTCCCTCCACCACCAACGTGACTCCACCTCTCCTGGGATGTCTTCTCAGCCAAGACCCATCCGGGGGTCAAGACCCGTGACCCCCCCACTGAACTCTGCAAGGTCCCCCCACTCTCCAGTGTCCCCCAGTAAGTCGTGTCGTGGTGTGAGTCACGTTTGTCCTCTGTCCTGGTCCCAGACCACTGGTCCCAGACCACTTGTCCCAGACCACCGGTCCTGTTCTGTCAGCTGACCAGCTCCATCATTGGATCATTCAGATTGCGGACACTTTAAAACAGGGGTGTCAAACATATGGATCGCAGGCCAAAACTGGTCCGCTAGTGGGTTCAACCCGGCCCGCATGATGAATTCTGAAAGTGAATTTGTTCTGTTTGCATCAGTAATCACAGCTGTGAACGTTGTCTTTTTTTGTCGTCCAATCAGAGTCTCTGCAGCCTCCAGCCTGCAGACACAGAGACCGCTCCCCCTCCCCCATGAGAGGCTACCTCATCCCCAGCCCTCTGCCCACACGCAGAACCAGGACCACCTCAGCGTGGGTGCACACACACACACACACACACACACATTGTGCTGACCTTTCACCTCATCAAACCAGAGATTCTTTTGTTTCGTCGTTCATTTTATATTTCATTTGTTTTTGTCTTGTTTTGTTGCTCAGAGTGTGTGTCTGCAGGAGACCCTGACCTCTGACCCCTCTGACCCTATTCATGTTCTAATGTTGATGAACATAATATATAGTTAATAAACCTAAAATAACCCTCCCCCTCCCCTTTCCCCCCCCCCCCCCCGTCTCCCCCCTGAACAGAACGGCTCGTGCGGCCGAGGGTCCAGCGTTCAGTGGTGTGTGTAAATGTTTCTCCCGCTCCAAAGGTCACGGCTTTATCACCCCATCAGACGGAGGCAAAGACGTCTTTGTCCACATCTCAGAGTAAGTCTGTGTGTGAGTGTGTGTGTGTGTGTGTGTGTGTGTGTAGTTCATTCCATTGTTTCCTACTTTACTGTGTACATTGTGTCACAGTGTTTGATGTGTAGGTGTTGACGTGTGTGTGTTATTTACCTGTGGGCGACGAGAGTGGCCACAGGTTGAAGGTCATCAGATCTTCACTGGTCCTCCTACACCACCGCTGCTGCCACGTGTGTGTGTGTGTGTGTGTGTGTGTTGCCAGATTATTATTCTTATCTTCTGATTTTCTTTTCTCCCCCAGCATCGAGGGTGAGTACGTGCCTGTGGAGGGAGACGAGGTGAGCTACAAGCTCTGCTCCATCCCTCCTAAACATGAGAAGGTCCAGGCGGTGGAGGTGACCATCACCCATCTGAACCCGGGCACCAAACACGAGACCTGGTCAGGAGAGACTGTCAGCAGTTGAATCATGATGCTCCAGTGGGGAGGGGGAGGGGGAGGGGGAGGTCGGGGTGAGTCAAGGCGCTGAGGGGGAGGAGGAGAAACAAGGAGGTAGGAAAGGAGAGAAGGAGACGATGAGGAAAATCAGTCAGGGGTCTGTGTGTGGTTTTGATGATAGATCACGTGACCAGAACCAAGAACAGACGGAGGTTTGAGGTTTGAATCCAGGAGACGTTCTCCACATAAAACAAATACAATCAATGTTGAATACAGATGACCTCAGGCTTCTGTGACACATTGACCTTTGACCTGTTTTTGTTAGAAAATAATGAAATTACTCTTTCAGGAAGTTTTTGTGTGTGTGTGCAGGTAAACAGTGTGTGTGTGTGTGTGTATGTGTGTGTGTATGTTCAGTCTGTACTGATACCAGGCTCTCCTCTGTATTTGATTATATTTGTCTGGGTGAAGATTAAAGCATTTTCATCTATTACGTCATTGTTAGTTTTTTTTTTTTTACTTTTTAATTCTCAACTCGTATTCAAATTTATTTAAAACAAATTCAAGACCATGTCACCGTGCTTTTTTTTTTTTTTGACTGATGACGAATAACGTCTGATGTGTGAAAGTTGGAAAGGCCTGTATTTGCTGCCCCCTTGCGTCCATACCCATCTATTACATCTGTTCAAACCACCGGTTTTGTTAGTATTAAAAGTCAACACTGAAAATAATGACATTTTTAAAAAATAAACTTTAAATATTTTCAATACGTCAAGTAAAAAAGTAAATTCTTAATTTATTCACTGAGAAAATAGTTGACATGGCACAACGGAAATGTTAAAAATATTTTTGATTGTTTCTTTTATCGTTTTAATTAGCAAAATGTAAAAAAAAAAAAGAATTATTATTAGTAGTACTTTAATTAGTAATAAAAACAGGCAAACTTCACGTAATGACAGTCAAAGTATACCAGAAACTAAAGAATTGCCTTTTTTAATTCCTGTGGTTCCTGTGCTGTGAATTAAGAATCATTGTCATTGTCTCTGTCCTCATGAAATGTTTTTCAGGAGTAAGTTCTGACCACAGATCTGGACGTCAAAAAGAAGACACACTTCAAGACTGGAGAAATCTGGAGGAGCTCCAGATTATACTGAACAAATGAGATTTGACAGATTAGAACTGGAGAAGAAAATAATCTGGATTCAGCTTCAATCTGTGTCTCAGTTTTAATTTTTACTGCAAATATATTTCAACTATTGTTCAGACAGGGTTTTCGAAAGGTTTAAATATAATACACTGCTTTTCATCAGTTTGGCCGGCAGAGGTCGCCAGGCTTCCATACGAAATTTACCTTTTAACGCAATTCTTTCTTGTCGTTTGCCACTATTGTTTGATAAAGTTAATTTAACTCAATGTTTCTCTTCTTGTCCAACACAACAGGAGCAGAGGTGAGAGGCGGTCATTTCATTTTTTATTTATTTTTTTTATTTTTGTTTCCCCAATACACCTGTGCCCAGGCCGGGATTCAAACCAGCATTACCGAAAGCAAAAGGTGAGTCTCTTAACCACTAAACCAGAGGCTGTCCTTAAACGCAGCATCCGCTTTAAAAGCACCACGTAGTTCTGTCGACGTTGATTTTTTTTAAAAAGTTTCCTAAATTTTACAGAATGTCCCTTTAAATGGTAATGAAGCAAGGCCCGAAGAAGAAGAAGAAGAGGGGGTGAAGAAACGAACGAGTGGGCGGGGGTGAGGTGAGGGGGGTGGAAGGTGAGGAGGAGAGAGGGATGGAGGAAAACAGATGATGAGGGGAGGAGGAGGACGACGAGAGGGAGGAGCAGAGGAGGCAGGAGCAGAGGAGGCAGGCACTGAGGCTGAGCACTGGCAGCAGGAAGCAGCAGCAGCGGCAGCAGCAGCGGCGACAGGAGGACAATGGAGCGCCTCCTCCAGGACGGATCCTAACGGCACCGGGTGTTTTTAGATCGCTACATCAGGTATGACTGACGGTGAGAAGCCGCACACACTGTGTGTTCACCCCCCCGTGAAAGAACGTGTTTAAATCTGCCGTGGTGACTGTGAGAGAGGGAGAGAGCGGGGGAGGATGCAGGAAGGAAGAGCCGCAGCACGGCTCACAGGCAGCAGCAGCAGCAGCGGCTGTGGTGGCGGCGGCGGCGGCAGCAGCGGCCTGTCGAGCCAACCGTCTGCCTCTGGGTCCTAAACCGGCCACTCATACGTTAAACACGGAAACACGCCGCTCCCTCCCACGGCCACACTGTGCTGGTTGTTCCCGTGTGAATCAAAGCTGGACAGACATTTTTGATTCTTTCTCCCCGCTCTTTTGCTGCCTCTTTTCAACGTCATGCCGAACTCCGGCAGGAAATATCGACATTTTCTAACATTTGTTTTTCCCTGCGGCGTAAACAGCAGCAGAGCTTGAGATTGTTTTTGGTTTGTGTTTAATTTGATTGTCCGGTCGTTCCGGCTCATGAACGACGCTGAAAAATGCGTTAAATCCTCACAAAACCCCCGTAATGTTGTCAGTGAAAAGCACAAGTCGCCCGCTGCTCCGTTGTATTTTGTGCAGGACGATAAAAAACGGGGGGAAAGCAGCAACGAAAACACATTCGGTGGCCGTTACAATAACAATCGTTGCTCTGTGTCAGTCACACACACGCCGAATGTAACGGCAGTGCATTGTGGTTGTGAGTGTGTCGTTAATTCACGGTTTATCGGTCGCTACATTTGACTCAAAGGCGGCGCTAGAAAAAAAACAGAGGATTTTTGGATGGAGGTTCGGAGTGAGCAGTTTGTGTCCAGTGAACGCCAACAAAGCCAGCCCACAGGAGCAAGGAAGGCTGTGAGTGTGTGTGTGTGTGTGTGTGTGTCAGTCAGAGTGAACACTTCCACTCCACCAGTCTGGACCCGGACCGTCCACTCAAGAATCGCGGTCTGTGGACTGAATAGATGGAGTTGTTGCCCTTGTTATAATGTGGCCTCTGTTGAAAAGTGCATGAGTGACGCACATCGGCACGCAGTGATGCAGCGGTGCTGGGATGATGCGTTAGCATCGATGGATGGATGACTTCAGGGCTTGTTAACACACATGTCTGCAGAGGCAGCAGCAGTGTGAGCAGCAGCAGTGTGAGCATCAGCAGCATCAGCAATGTTAGCATCAGCAGCAGTGTTATCAGCATCAGCAGCAGTGTTTTATCAGCAGTGTGAGCATCAGCAGTGTGAGCATCAGCAGCAGTGTTATCAGCAGTGTGAGCAGCAGCAGCAGTGTTAGCAGCAGCAGCAGCAATGTTAAGGTTTTTGGCTGTTATGTTTTTCTTTTTGACTAATTTTTATCTGTTTTTATCTACTCAACCTTTTTTTAAATAACAATTTTAACTGCTTTAAGCAGCAGTTTTAGCATCAACAGCAGCAGCAGCAGTGTTAGCATCAGCAGCAGTGTTATCAGCATCAGCAGCAGCAGCAGCAGCTCCGGGTCACATGTTCCCCGACAGGTTGACAACAGATCAACTCCCTGAGGTTCTGTTCTCAACAACGGCCTGTTGTATATTTGTTTTTATATATTTTTATAAACACTGTTTTGTTTTCAGCTGCAGTAAAATCACACGTCACTAGAAAAGTATTTATTTTTTCTTGTCACTACAGAATTGTGCTGTGTTTTCAGAGTAAGAAACAGTTCTGTTCCCATGGACCGACTGGTGGCGCTGTGAGAAACAACCAGGTTTAACAAATGTAATGTTGAATCAATGACAGTTTTGTCCACTAGGGGTTAGTGGCATTTTCATTAAAAAAACATTTTTTAAAAAGTAGAAGAAAAGACTCCATGACAGTCTGGGCCGATACGACAGGAAACAACCGCAAACCACGTGGGATTAGAGCGAAGGGCGGGAGACGTGAGAGTTGGTGTTGGAGCCACGCAGTGGAACCTCAGCTTTTTAGCTGTTATTCCAACCAGAACCAGAACCAGAACCAGTACCAGGACAGCAGTGGACCCACTGACTGGACTGGTCTGTTTGTGCCTGTCAGGTTGAACAGGGAACAACCGTGTAGTTTCATGAGAACAATAACAGGAAAAAGCTTTGTTTAGAGTGTGTGTGTGTGTGTGTGTGTTTTCCTGGTATAACTATACTCATGGGATTATTTATTTCAAAGAGTGAGACGTTTGTTTATGTTGAAGATTTAGTTTGGAGTTGGGATTAGAGTTAGTCTAAGGATTAGGATTAGGATTAGGATTAGGCGTGTATTTGTAAGAGTTACGGTCGGGGCTGGAGAAAGCGTGAAGTGCTCACCACACACCAAAACCAGTCTGTGTGTGTGTGTGTTTTCTTTACTCACATGATCAGTGTGTGAGAATCTCTGATTTGGCAAGAGTGTGTCACAAGACAGAGCTGTGTGTGTGTGTGTGTGGGGGGCGGGGGGGCAGGAAGGAACATTATTATTTCTTCCTACGTTTCCCAGCATGCCTTGCAGCCATGGAGGACATGTGTGGACAAGTCCTTGCTAAACCCCAGGTGTGGTATTGAACCCAGAACCCACCGGTTGTTGGTGAGAGTCCTTCCACTGCAGCCTCTCTGATTGGTCGGTCCTGCAGTGACAGTTGTTGCCACTGATGTCACTGTTGGTCCACACAGAGACACTAATGTCCCCTGTGTCTGATTGCACACCGACCTCTCTGTAATGATCGCTGACATCGACCGGCCTGTGGCGCCCCCTGTTGGGGCGTGTCTGCTCTGAACCAGAGTGGAAAGTTTGACTCCAGGTCTCTGGCTTGTTACGACTCGAAGAAGTAACGACAGGCGCGGCAGCTTCACGCTGTAACAACTGCCGTGTTTGTTTTGTGTCGTCGTCGTTCTGACGTTAGAACTGGATCCAGTGACTGAACCTTCGCTCCGTTTGTTTCTTTAACGAGGGTCGACCGAACATCTGTGCTGTGAAGACCCTGAACCAAGACCACAGACAGAGGCACGTGGTCTGACTCTGCTGTTACTGTTACTGCTGCTGCTGCTGCTGTTACTGTTACTGCTGTTACTGCTGCTGCTGCTACTGCTGTTACTGCTGCTGCTGCTGTTACTGCTGTTGTTGCTGTTACTGCTGCTGCTGTTAATGTTACTGCTGTTACTGCTGCTGCTGCTACTGCTGTTACTGCTGCTGCTGTTACTGTTACTGCTGTTCCTGCTATTGCTGCTGCTGTTACTGCTGCTGTTACTGCTGCTGCTGCTGCTGTTACTGTTACTGCTGTTACTGCTGCTCTCTCTGTCAGATTACATTTAATTTCACAATTTAAGAAAATCCAGGGTCTCAGACCTGTTTGTCCTTCAGTCACTGTGACACTGACCGTCAGGTCTGTGATTCACCACAGACATGAATGATTCATCAGTCTGGGTCTCTGTCTCTGACACAGGAAGTGAAAGTCAAACAGCTGCAGGATGCTGACGTCTCCCCCCCCCCTCACCCGCTCCTCACCCGGCTGTATCTGATCTACAAACATGATGAAGACTCAGCCCCCGTCGGGGGGCGATGGGGCATCAGGCGGCAACGGCGGGGGCAGCGGTAGCTCCAGCCTGCGTAGCCCCTCCCCCCACCGGAACGCCTACGAGGCCGGATTGGCTGCGCTGAAGAAGGCCACCGACCACCTCAACAGCGCCCCCAATGGAGGCGCCGAATCTTCCTCGAAGCCCGCTCTGCTGCCACGCCCAAACCTGAGAGGTCGTACATATGGATCCAACGTCCATCGCATCAAAAACATGTTCATGCAAATGCAGTCGCCCGGTGACGAGGAGGACGGCGCCAAAATGATCGGTACGTCGTGTCACTCATTCAGTCACAAGTCACATGACCAAACTGTAACTGGTCTACGGTGCTAACTAGTAGCACTGTGAGAAAATATCGTTACACTGAAATATCTTGATATTTTGTTTCCTAATATCGTATCAATGTTCTATAGAATTTATTAATTTTTTTATTAACACTTTTATTCATGGTTTACTGTCATTAAATTGTTTAAAAAACTCAATATATCGTATCGTTGTCCCAGTTTCATGACACGTATCGTATCGGCAGAATCTTGACAATACGCAGCTCTACTAACTAGTCCTAGTTAGGGACAGTCTGGTTAAATCCTCTGACGGTCTGTGATTGGTCACTTCTCCTCCCCAGGCAACTGTGACCCCTCCTCTGGTCAGGGTGGTGGTTCAGTGGGTTTAAGTCTTTGTTGTGTTTGGCAGATAAAGATCAGGACATCAAACTGTCCCTGCCGCGGGTGTCCAGCCTTAACGAGAACGTGGACCACAGCGCTCTGCTGAAGCTGGGAGGGACGGTGTCGGACAGGGTCAACAAGTTTGACCCCAAGACAGGTGGGGACGGGGGCTGCTCCTCCACAGGTTTCTCCAAGCTGCAGGAGACCAGAAGGATCTTTGAGCAGCGCACTCTGCAGGTCAGAACGGTTTCCTCTGCTTTGACTTGTTTGATCCAGTTGACCCTAAAGTGACCTTCAGTCCCGTCTCCTCCAGGAGAAGCAGGCGGCCACAAACAGGATCATGCTGAAGAAGGAGCGGGCCTCAGGCTTCCAGGGCGGCCGCCTTGATGTTGTCGCCCGCTTTAACGGCTCCACCGAGGCTCTGGATCGACTGGACGACCCCCCCGCTCCCGCTGCGGCTCCGGGTCTCGCTCACCTTCCCGTAAACGCAGCGTCAGCCGGGCCCGGGGAGGCCGTGAGCCCCACTGTGAGCCAACTCAGTGCTGCGTTTGAGAAAGGTGACGTGCAGAACAATGTCTACCTCCCCAAGCGTCGGTCAGGTCCTGCCCTGGCGCCGAAGCCCAAACCTCCACCCAGGACTGAGGTGACCAGCAGGAAGGTGGGGGCCACTGACTACTGACCGCTGACTACTGACTACTGACCACTGACCACTGACCACTGACTACTGACCACTGACCATGACTGGAAAAATTAAATAATAAGAAATTTTAATTAAATTAAATCTCACCTCTCCCTCCCTCTCTCCCTTTTGTCTCCCTCCCTCTCTCCCCCTTTGTCTCCCTCCCTCTCTCTCTTTGTCTCCCTCCCTCTCTCCCTCTCTCCTGTGAAGGCATCACCTCCAGGTAAGGATGAAGCCAAGGTGGAGACAGCGGAGAAGCTACCAGAAGGTCCTGGTTGTCTTCAGAGGAGCACAGAGGAGGAGGTGTCCAGTAAGGAGTCAGACGGTCTGGTAGGAGACCATCTGTCCAACTCCGTCCACTCCTCTTCGTCCTCACTGACTGAAGCGAAACCAGAGTCGGACGTTCGGCCGATAGAGACTGAAGCCAGAGGTTCGAACACGGCAGATGGTCCGGACCAGGAGCCACGGGTTGAGGAGCAGGACGACTCCACGGAGAGGTCCGAGGCTCGGAAAGTTCTGGCGGAAATACACGTGTCTTTGGAAAATGGAGAGAAGGAGCATCCTGGTTCTTCTCCTTCCCCTGAGAAGAAAGAGGAGGACTTCACAGGAAAGGATGAAGAGGAGGAGGAGGAGGAGGAGGAGGAGAATGATGAAGACGATGGCTCCAGGAAGGAGGACTACTCGGAGGGGGATGTGGTGGACATCAGTGCATACAGTGGACTTGGGGAGGAGGATTCTGGAGGGAGTGAGATGGATGATGAAGAGGAGGAGGAGGAGGAGGAAGAGGAGGAGGAGGAGTATCAGCCAGAGACCAGTTGCTCTGAGATCGCTGGCCTCCCGGAGGAGGAAGAGCCTCCACCGGCCAATAGGAAGATCCAATTCAGCACGCAGCCAATCAGGGTGAGTGTGTGATTCGTCTTATTGAACCGTCGATCTTCATGTTGATGTGGCCACAGTTCTTCCTGCTGACTTCAGGTGGTGTGTGTGTGTGTAGACTCACCCCCTCACCCCCTCCTCACCCTCCTCACCCTCATTTGCAGCAGTCAGCTTCTTTAGCCCAGCTCATGGTGAAACATGTCTAAACGTGTGCCGACGGCGGCGCCTCGTTCACGCCGTAGTTCCTGAACCAGGTTCACTGAGCAGCGCGTCGAAGTCTGTAGTTTGATTTCTGTGTGACGTCACAGCTGACAGTGAAGTAGAAAAAAGTCACTTTTAAATTCTCTGAGCAGGAAGTCACCACAGGAAGTCACGGTCACACTTCAGCCGTCACTTCCTCTGGTGTCAGGACAGAAACGAATTCTTCTCATTTCTGTGGATTTTTCCTTTAACTACTTTGAACCACTGACCTCTGGAGCCAGCTGTGTGTACTACTGCAGTACTGACAGTACGTCCTTCCACTAAACCATAACATCTCACTGTTATGTAAATGTGACCAAATGTTGTGACCAACACGTGAACTCCACAGGTGTTCAAACCCCAGGATGTGGGTCAAAGTTCAGATGAAAAAACAAACAACAAAACGATCTGGATGTTTCAGTGAGTTTCAGTCGTGAACTCAACCGTTTAATGGCGTCTGCAGTGAAACTGTCTGCGCTTCACTTCCTGTAGATCAGTGTTGTCTGTTTCATCACTGCAGAGTCACATGATCTGATCAGATCAAGGTCAAGTCGGAACAGATTTAGATACAAGTTCACTTTTTTATTTCTAATTTTAAAAGTCATTTGCTAATTGTCAGTGTGCGATCGTCTCAGAGAGGTCAGAGGTCACAGGTCACAAAGTTTTTTCATGATAATTATAACAACCAGGTGTGTATTGGCAGGAATTTGGCGATAACGATACATGTCACGAAACTGTCTCAATGATGCGATATATTGCGATATATTGTGATATTACAGAACCTAAACCTGAAGTGAACTGGTGCGTAGTGTGAACCAGAACCATGTGTGGTCCTGATCCATCCTTTGTTGGTGACATATAAAGCCAGTAGGTGGCAGTAGTTCATGTTCATGCGTGTTTAAATGACAAAGAATAAAAACGTCACTGACGATGGATGTAGAGATTACTCTGAGATCTGGATTCAGCCTGGAGCCTGGTTATTTAGAGATGTGCAGTGAAAACAGGTCGTAACAGCCTGTCATTTACACACACACACACACACACACACACACACACACACACACACTTATTGACCTGATTCCAAGTGCATTTGTTCCCCTTCTTGCACCGATTGCTAGGTGACGATTTTTTACGGGACTCGTGAGTAAAGGGACGCGACGACACGCTGAAGTCTCACTGCGTTACACACACACACACACACACACACACACACGCACACAGACGTGACTCGGTTCCAGGAGATAAAACCTGTGACTGTTCCTTTAACTGCTGCTGGAAGTGAAACTGTTTCAACTTTTCAGTTCGTTGCTGCAGATTTATAAAAAATCTTTGTGACTTTTAATTTAAAAAAAACAAACCCAGATCAAGTCAAGAATTAAAGAAATAAAAGATCAACTCAGATCAACTCTGGAGAACTGGACCTGAACCCGTGAACTCTGTTTGGTTTGGATCCACATCAAACCCAAATATGTGGTTCCTGTAACGTCTGACGACGCGCGGCGCTGCTAACGGTTCCACTGACACCACTTCTCATTTAGAGGCATACAACTGTGTGTGTGTGTGTGGGGGGGGGGGCATCAACAGGCCTGGACTGGAATCACAGTAAATATTTTGAGATGGTAACGTGTCCTGCTGTTCTGTCAGGACACGTTGGAGCGTTCTTCTGTCAACGCGCTTCACGCCGTCATCGGTACCAGGTCCGACCGGTGTGTGAAGAGAAACACTGTTATTTTCTATATGTTATTGTTACACACACACACACACACACTCGACGTGCACACACATACAGACGTGCACATGCTGGTGCAGTCTGTTAGTCTACACAGACCTGCCTCTGTATGTCTGTAAAAACAGTCGGAATGTGGAAGGGTGTGTTTGCTTTCCTTGGAAAAGCGCGCACACACACACACAAACCAGTTGATAACGACCACAGACTGAACCTTTGTTTTTAAATCTGATCTGGTGTCAGTGACCAGGTGGAGAACACCATATTGATGTGCCCACCCCCCCCCCAACCCCCCCCCTCTCCTTTCCTAGTCTCTGTTCCGTCTGAACATCAGTTACTGACACTGGAACATTTCGGTTCATTTTTTCACTCTTCAGGTGTGAATGTGAGCGTGAATGTGAGCGTGAATGTGAGCGTGAATGGGCCTGTGATGGACTGGAGAGGTGGTCAGAGTGTAGCCCCTCCCACTCCAGAGGACGACTCAGCCGCACTCTTTGGTGCCGGTGCCGGAGCAGCGCCTCTGTCAGACCCGGGTTCTCCTGAGTCCTCCTCACCTGTGGGGTTCTTCTGTGCCGGCTGCAGCCAGCGCGGTGCCCACGCCCAGAGACTGGTCCGCGGCTCGGTCGTACACCACGTCTGATTTATTGTTTTTGTCGTCCGTCTGTGAGAACTTTATTTTTAAACATTTTGCTGAAGTCAGCTTCGCTGCTCTTCCTGTTGTCGCAGCTGAAATATTTGGAACAAATCAATAATTCTCACTTCGTCGTCTTCTCCTGCTGAGGAAGGAATCGCTTTTGTTTCGTTTGTCACCGGTTTAAAACCAGATCTTCCCACACTGTAGTTGTACTTCTGCTGAGGAAGCAGATCTTTAACCCCGAGGCCGGGGCGGAGCCTGAAGGCAGCGTAGTGTCGTAGTGTGGTTTCAGTGTGGCAGCAGAGTGAAGG